TCAAGCGAGTCTCCTACCTCAGCCTCCCAAGTAGCTGGGACCACAGGCGCCCGCCACAACGCCTGGCCATTTTTTGGATGCAGCCATCATTGTTGTTTGGCGGGCCCGGGCTGGGGATTCGAACCCGCCACCTTAGCCGCTTGAGCCACAGGCGCCGAGCCAAATATGAGACTTTTAATGCTAGTGCACAATAAGCCATCTGGAATTGAAACTGATCCAGTGGAGAGTGCTAGAATTCAGGAAGGGTCGGGGAGGTATCCCACAAGGTCAGAGTAGAGACAGGCCAAGAAAGTCTGCCTCTCCTGCTCCTAGCTCCAGGGTATCTCCCTCCCCTCCAGCAGCTTACAATGCTGCAAGGGACGTGGTTAACACCTAGACCAAACTGACATGTGACCCAGCCAGCTTCAAGATAGACTGGGCTATATCTATCATCCTTCCCACCCGCAACCACAGTATCCTGACAGCCCTTACCTATAGAATCACGGGCCTTTGCTGCCCCAAAAGAGAAGACAGGACCTGAGTCAACGAGGAACAAACAGAAGCAATGATCACATATTGTAGACAAGGTAGACTCCAATACTCTGGCTTGGTGCACTGGTTTTCAGCTTGACTACGTGTTAGAAACTAATTGTGGAGAATAAAAAAAAATACAATTCTGGACCCTACCATAGCAGATTTAAATTCAGTTAAGGTGGAGTTGGGGGCATCAGCTTTTTTTCTTAAGTATTTGAAGTGTAGAGTACCACTACTGAGTAAGTACCCAAGCTCAGCAGCCAGAGCTCTAGCTGCAGCTCCTGTCCCATGGCTTCCTATTTCTGTGACCTTGGGCAAGTTACTCAACATCTGTGAGCCTCCCTTCCTTCAGCTGTAAAACAGTGCCTACTTAATGGAGTTGTAGGGAGGATAAATGAAATAATGCATAACAGTGCTTGGCATTGTACCTAGCACATAGTTAAATGCTGAAGATGTTATTATTGTTGCTGGAGTGACAGTTGTTGCTACTCTAGTGTCCAGACTTGGAGGTATCTAAGGAAGAAAGTGCCACTTCCTGTGACCAGGGGCTAAGACTCATCCTTTCCCCCAGGTAGGATTGACAGGGAGTCAGTCACCAGGGTCAGATAGGTCATGCCCTGGTATTGATGCTCGCCTTTGGTGACTCTAACGTTCTATTCTAACACTCCATTCTGAGATAATGGAAATAGTTTTGGATCTGTGCTGACATTATGTCAGCCAGTAGCCATATGGAGCTATTCAGCACTTAACATGTGGCTAGTGTGACTAGGGAACTGAATAATTGTATTTAATTATCATCAATTTAAAGTCAAAATAGCTACACGTGCCTGATAGCTACACATGGCCAATAGCTAAAGGTTTGGAAGGCT